GCCCCAAAAGGAAAGAAGCTGGAATCGATCAAGCAGCTAATGATGAGAGTTCACCGAGCAGCAGGGCATCCTGGATTTTCAAAGCTACAAGATCTACTTCGAGCACGTGGATCCCCTGCTTGGGCTGTGGAGTTGGCCGGAACTTTGGAGTGTCCCGAGTGCAAGGAAGCTGCCAAGCCTCGACTGGTGCCACCTGCTTCCATGGGCAAAGAGCCTGAGCTGTTTGAGGTTTTGGGAAGCGACGTTTTCGAGCTGGAAGACGGTGAGGTCAAACACTTTGGCATCCTTTGGAGGGATCGCGCAAGTGGTTTGGTGATGATCGACATTGTCAAGCAGACCCCTGTTGGCAATCGATGGTCTCCAACTGGCCTGGACATTGTGAAGTCCTTCACAAAATGGTTGGCCCGACATCCAGCACCGAAATGGGTGGTGACAGATCCTGCAACCTACTACACTGGAGCTGACTTTATGGACTTTCTGTCACGCTCTGGAGTTGGTCTGACGTGCACTCCTGCTGAGGCACACTACCTGATGGGTGCAGAAGAAGGAGCAATTGGCATTGCCAAAAGAATCGTCCTGAAGTTGCAGAAAGAGAACGACAAATGGGACGTCCACATGCTCTTCGACATGGTGACCCATGCAATGAACTCTCACATTGGGAGTAGTGGGTTTTCAGCGTACCAATGGGTCTATGGCAAGGACCACCACTCTGAGCCTCTCCCCGATGGACTTGAAGCTTCAAAGGCTTTCGGTGGACTTTTGAAAGCCAGGGAGAGAGCTAAACTGGAGTATGACAAGGAGAAGGCCCGGGACAAGTTCAGCAAGCTGGCAAACTCCGTGGGCAGGCCAACTACGAAGGTCCACACTGGACAACTGGTGATGCTTTGGCGTCAGAAGGTCAAGCCGGGCAAGTTGAAAGGATCCTGGGTAGGCCCTCTTCGGGTCATTCTGGTGGAAGGCTCAACTATTTGGTTGGCAACGGGATCGACTTTGGTAAGGGCCAAATTGTCACAGCTGCGACCAGTCACCAAAAGAGAAGAACTCCAATCGACCTTGGAAGGGACTGCGATCTACCGCACGCCGGTGACCACAGAGACGCTCATGCGAGCTTTCCAAGGACGCTACTACTTGGATGTCTCTGGAGATGTTCCTAGTGAACAGCAGCTGCAACAAGATCTATCTCCTGCCGAAGTTCAACTACCTCCCAGGCCTGACAATCCAAGGCCTGACACCTGGACTGTGAGAGAAGAGAATGGTCAAAAGACCTTGGTGAGAATCCACAACATGCCCAGACTGTCTCTGTTCAGCCCAACAAAGATCACAACATGCCCTGTCTCGCTGGACGAGCTGACTGGCAAGCGGCTGACTATTGTCCGTCCACTTCATGGAGGACCAGAGGCAAAGATCGAGGACGACCTGACCATCCAACGCAATCTTCAAGACCGTTGGGTTGGTGAGACGCAGTTTGAAATGAAGATGGGTCCTCGACCACTGAAGATACGACGCAGCATCCCCAAGACTGGCCAGAAGCGACCTCCTGAGAAGGAGACACAAGATCTACGTCGAGAAGCTGAAGGACCAGACACTGGTGGAGAAGAACCTCAACAAGCTGGTCTACAACCTGAACCTGCCGGAGCTTCTGGACAAGATCTACGACATGGTGAAGATGATGCTCTTCCAGCTGATGATGATGATGATGGACTGGAACCTGGAGAAGTACAAGGAGAACCAATTCCCCCTTCCCAACTCAACGAAGCCCTGCTTCGACATGGGGGTGACATCGTGGATGGGCTACCTGTTCAACTTCGAGGCAGTGCTGGGAGCAATCAATGCCCTGCACCCGGATGCGAACTTCCTGGTGGACACGCTGGAGTTCATGAAGGTCCTGAAGGAAAATTCCTCTATGACAACTATGAGGGACGCAAGATGATCACCGAGGAGAAGGACATCGCGGAGGACTTTCCATCAAGTCGGAGTTCAACATCTTCAGAAGAACTACTTCCTGATGGAGATCTTCAAGGACTGGTGGATGATGCTGGTGGTGAACTACCTGCTCCTAAGGAGACCTTCTTTGCGGCAGAGGTGGATTTGTCACCTGAGGACTATGCTTGGCTGTCGAAGAACAGCACCAGCCGGAAGGCCAACATTTGGTTGGCTAAGAAACTTGAGAAGTCCAAGGAGGTGACGTGGAGCAAGCTCTCTTTGGAGGAAAAGAAATCCTTTGACTTGGCTCAAGCAAAGGAACTCAGCCAAGTGGCAACCTCTCGAGCTCTACGAAACCTGACCAAGGAGGAGAAGCTTTCTTTGGACTACAACCGCATTATGAACATGCGCTGGGTCCTGACTTTCAAGGGCAATGGCGATGCAAAAGCCCGCCTGGTCATTTTGGGTTTCCAGGCGCACAACCTTTGTGAGGTCGAGACGAGCTCACCCACTATGGGGAAGGTTGGACGCAACATGCTCCTATGCCTTTGCGCGGCCCTCAACCTGAAGCTGAAGGCTGGTGACGTCACGTCGGCGTTTCTGCAAACAGATGAATCGCTTGAGGGCGAAGATCTTTATGTTTGGGCCCCACCTGAACTGGCAACCTACTTTGGAGGAGATCCTCGAGACCCTCGTGCTTTGAAGGTGCTCAAAGCCTTCTATGGGCTGGTACACTCACCTCGAAAATGGTGGGAGACGGTGGTGGCTGCTATGAAGCGCTCTGGATGGAAGGCGTTGCTGGGAGACAAATGCCTGTTTGTCCTGCAAGAGGAGATCAACGGCAAGCTCGAGATTGTGGGCTTAGCTGGTCTACACGTTGACGACTTCCTCATTGCTGGAAAGGAAGGTTCGAAGGTCTACGACCATGCAGTTCAAGAACTCCGTGAGAAGTTCAGATTTGGCAAATGGTCTTCTGCCGAAGATGGACTGGAATTTGCTGGCTGCTGGATTCAGCAGAGCTCCAATGGCGAGATCTACCTGGACCAGGAGAACTACACCAACAAGTTCATCGACGAGTTGGACATTGACCCCAAGAGACCTTGGAGTGCCGATTTGACACCGGCAGATATCTCTGCAATCAGAGGAGTACTTGGGACGGCAAGCTGGAGGGCTACTCAGTCTTCACCACAGTTTTTGGCCGACACCTCATTGCTCCTGTCGGAGATTAACAAGGGCTCGGTGGCGACCATGCACAAGGTCAACAAGTTGGTGCGAGAAATGAAGAGGACTGCTGGCCAGAAACTTCGGTTTCCCTCATGGCCTGGCGTTCCGTTGGAGGATTTGGCTGTGATTACTTGGGCCGATGCCTCCAATCACAACCGCCCTGACAAGAGCAGCACTGTGGGCATCCTGACTGGAATTGCCCCAAAGGCCATTATGAATGGAGAAGAAACACCTGTGGCGCTGATACAGTGGAAGTCTGGAAAGACCCCACGACAATGCCTTGGTTCGAATGGCGCAGAGGTTCAGGCCATTACAATTGGCGAGGACCAGAACTACCTGGTGCGTGGTTTGCTCTTCGAGATGATGGGCAATCAGTTGGAGCGCAAGGTGATTCACAAGCAAGTGGCGACAGTGCCTGGCTGTTTGGTGATGGATTCGAGGGGCATCTACGATGCTGCAACCCGGAATCTTTCATGCCTACATGGCTTGCGAGAATCGAGGGCAGGGTATGAGCTGACCCTATCCATTGTCCAGGCAACTCAAGCCAAGACGGTGTTGCGATGGGTGTGCGGAATCGCACAGTTGGCGGACTCGCTGACCAAGTTCTTCGATCGAAAATGCATTCTGCAATTCCTAGCCGCTAAGCAGGTATGGCGACTCACCGACGACCCCTCCTTTACTGCTGGGAGAAAGGTGAACAAGCGTGCTATGGAGAAGAAGTTGCAGGAGACCCAGGACTACTTCATAAACTCCATCCGCATCCTGGCCGAAAAGAACAACTGGCCCTGGCAAGATGATGCTGCCGAAAGTTTGGCACAATTAGATACCTTCACTGACTGACCCTTTTGTACATGCAAAAGTCAGGAAGTGTATCTGGTGTGAGCATGACATACATGTGTCATGTGACTTTTACATGCACCTGCCCGTTACCGTAGGGCGGGATCGAGCCAAAAGGATTCGCGCTGCTCCCTGTGGAGCTGGTTCCTGAGGTGGAACGCAAACCCCCTTTTCCCTATAGCTAGGGACGGTCATCCACTGCGCTGTGCCCGTTGCACTTATCGAAGATCTTCAATGAATGTAGAAGTTTAACGGGGGTGGGAGAATTAACCCTTATTGAAGATCTTCAATGAATGTAGAAGTTTAACGCGGGCGGGATTTTATTATTCCCTGATACCTTTGTTGATCTTCCCAATTGAATGTAAAGTTTCATGGGGGTGGGAGTTTAATATTCCCTAATACCTTTGTTGATCTTCCCAGCGGAATGCAGAGTTGCAACGACATTTGATTGGGAATGGGGACCCTCTACGCGCGCAACGCCTGGGCAAAGCCCAGGCGTTGCGCGCGTATATATACATATGCAGACATAAATACATAGATACATGGGGCCTCACATACAAATGGAATCATATGGATGTGATACACATGTATATATTAATGTTCACTTACATGCATGATCCTACTGTATCACATACATACATACAAACAAACAAACATACATACATACATACATATATATATATACATATATATATATATATACATATATATATATATACATGAATGTGCAGTCCATGCCTTGCAGGTCTATATATATGTCTAGCATACATGGTATGAAATATTTTATGTATGTATATACATATATATCATATATCTATAATATAATATATCTATACAACTACACATCAAGAGAACTGTGAAACATCATTCGCTGGCTTAAGTGTCTAGCTCGTCAAACCCACAGAGCTGGTAGAACATAGTTCCAGAGTCCAGAGGGGAGTGTCTCCAAAGAGGCAAAACCACTTTGAACATTTTTTTCTTTAGAGCACAGACGATGAGGATGTGGGTCTGCGCAGGAAACGAGAGGTGTCAGCCCAAGCAATGATGGAATGGTCGACGAACTGGTGGATGCTTGGAGGAAAAACTCGCGAAGAACAGGTTGCAGCAATCCATGAAACATTCGATGGATAACATGAAAAACTCATTTCAGATGCAACAGATCCAACAGATCATTTGAGCCGCGGAATCTAATCAAAGAGTAGTGGCTGAAAACTACGTCATCAATCGCCAGATATGTGCTTCAGCATGCTTCAGCAACAATCCAAGGAATCTCATGCCTTGCGAAGCAAAGAGTGCATTGATGCTTTCAAGGTGCAGCAGCCGGCCGCAATTGGTTGTCCGTAGTTTTTTATCACTGGAAAACGCGCAGATCTGAAAGAGCTAGCTTCGATATGAAGTGGCTGTCGTGGAGAATGTTTTCAACAAATCCGAAGATTTATATAATTTGATCTAATCGAAGATTTATATAATTTGATCTAATCATTTAATCTCAATGACAGATAATGACAGTCCATTTGCAGTCCATGCACGACATGTAGGCAGTGGACCGTGGGCACTTTTGGCCAGCCACTGGGGGTGATTTGGCCTATGCGGACATGCCGTTGTCTGGGGCTGAGTTCATTAATTTGCGGTGTTTACAGCCTAGTGCTTGCGTTTTGTGGACTATGGCTCAGAGTGATATTCTCAGTGATCATGACATATTTTATATAACAAAAGGAACCACTTGTTTTTCAGTTAATTGTTTGAACCATGGCCTTCTTTCGACACCTGCACATGTCAAGGCGTCATGGCCGGCTACACCTCTCTGCACCACACATCTATGGAAAGGTGGGGTTTGAGACGATTATCCGTATAGCCAAACCACAACCATGAGAGGTCAGGGAAAGCGTCACCATTGCTGAGACCACTTTGCCCTTTGAGATCGCCTACCGTCCGCGTACGTCAAAGTCCGTCACAACGTCTCTAGTTGCCATGTTGATGCCAGTAGAAGTCTTTCGACACGAGTCTTCGGCACGAGACGGGATAGAACAAGGAATCCGCACGACACGAGTGTGTCTATTGGACAATTGTAAGTCACGAGGCGACTTGCGTCCAAACGGTAGGCTTGGATGTTCGGATAGCAAACCAAAACACTATAACAAATACGCTGAGTAGGAAAAACAAGGAAGACTTAGTAAGACTTAGCAATCCGATCTCCAGCAATCATGCACGCAGGCGCTTGAATCTTTGATGCCCTTGCAGCAGCTTGGACTTTAAACTTGATGTAACTTGATGTAAGATGTTACCAAGCATAAAATTTGTATACATAATTACAACTGTACATATCTGTACATAATTATATAATTATATATAATTATTATATACATATAATTATATATATAATAATATATATATAATAATATATATATATTATATTATATTATATATATATTATATATATATATTGATTTATCTCCAATTTTGTCATCGTCCAAGGCCTGGGATGTCCTTCCTGAACATCGGCCGGACAGCCCAGTCGACTCCAGGTCAGTGGCTAAACCGGCTAAACCTTTAACGAGTTAGACATAGCTATTTTTTTTGGCCAATGGACATGGGATGACATGGGATGATGACATGGGATGATATGAGGATATAGAGCTAAGAGTAGCCATAACATTTTTTGTCCATATTTTCTCTTCATCAACAGTAACATTGGCCATCAGAACTTGATACATCCCCTTCCTTTTTGCCAACAAATGCGCCGCTAGCAGCATTCTGCTGGGGGCTAACTGGATTTCTCCCAAATCCAAGGCTCCGGCACCGGATATTTCAACTGCATCGTGCCATGGACTCAGTTTGGATTTCGAAAGCACAGGTGTGGCAAAAGCATAGAGCACCATACCATTGGCAGCACGCATACGGCAGGTGATTTGATGTACTGAACAATCCAATGTTTAGGGGTCAATAGTTTTGAGCAAGAGACACTTGACCATGGCATACCATGGCACTATGGTCACAGATCCCAAAGAATCAAAGAGTCACAGACCATGCCATGGAGTTGTGATTCAGGTCCGAATTCACCGGGCCGCACGCCGCCAACCATGGCGTTGAGATCTGGCGCGCATGGCAGGGGAATTAATCTGTCCAATTCATGAAGAAAATACCGGTACCATCATGTATATTCATGTACCATTTGGTATTGTGATCTATTGTGGCATTTCACGTGTGGCAGAAATCCAACAGACAGTCAATGAGTTTTGATTTTTCCAATGGGAAATTGTCTATCTTCACAGCGCGACATTTGTGGTTGGTCAATGTTGGTCATGGAAAAAGCCTACACAGCAAACCTAGAGCTACATCGTACGATGTTTAAAGTTGTGCTTGGGCCGCAAAACCGTCTTGAATTGCTTCAGTCAATGGACAGCACAACTCTGGGCCATTTGAGATGGTTTGAGTATGAGTCCCCGTTCCACATGGGTGATATTGGGTGGCGGTTTGATATCGTCAAAATCATCCCGTAATCCCCATGCCATGGCGGCCATGGGCCTCATTTCAGGCCTGAGACTGTGGCCCATGCTAAAGCTCGAGCAGCTGCACTGGGTAGAGATGCCCAGAGGGCCGAGGTGATCACGAAAGCGACGATATGCGACGATGAAAGTCGCTTCTTTAGGAGAGATAATAGTGTAATATGGTGTATAATACTAATGATTAATAATGTATAATATTGAGACTCGTGATTTGAAAGACGATGTCAACTGAAACCCCGAAAATTTGCTGCTATGCTTGAGGTAAGCACAGCCTACAGTTCACCGTCGGAAACATCTACCAGCTCAATGTGAATGACACCATGCGTCCGGCGCCTGCGACTGTTTGTCATGGATTCCAGCGTGGTCTAGATCAGTAAGTGATTGGGGCCCTCCAAAGCTGTAAGATCCTCATGACGTGGCACTATAACACTGAAGTGGTTTGTCACACATGTATTTTGCTACAGCATCTTCGGTTAAGGTGTCTTCATGTCTTCAACCACAAACAGTTCGCATAGTTCGCCTTGAAAGTAGACCGCGTTATTTTTTAAAGCCTGGGAAGCTGCATAGCAAGGTAGTTTTGACATGTTTTCAATGTACCGCAAACAGTACCTGACCTTTGGATACCTTTGGCGGGCTGGACCAGTCCTTGCATTTGCAAAGGCTACGACAGGATCTACGTCGGTGCTTGTGCGAACTCAAAGTCCAAATACCTCTACAGGCTGTGTCCTTAACATGCTGCTTTAGCAACTGCAGAAAGTTGCTACTGCTACATTCTGAGGCTGAAATGTTGAAATCTGAATTCGACCATGGTTTTGATCACTTCGAAAGCATTCCAAAGCCACAGGTGGAAATCGTCTTCCAATCCCCGCTTGAGTGTAGTGTATTTGAAGCATGTGTTCTCGACTTTTCTTGAAGATTAAATGATATTTGACATATTTGATAGATTTCCATAGTGTTTGCGAAGGCTTTTGGAGGTCGGTGGCATCCTCATCGGCCCCTTTCAGGCGATCCGGATGGAGTCACAGTGCTGAGAATGTAATTACTCGTAGTGCGCCGTTCCAATTGGTGAAAGGCAAAAGGCAATCCTTCTATCAATGGCAATCTTCACAAAGGCTTTCCATGGCTTTCCTATGGCAATGTGCTACAAGCTGGTCGTGGTTCCAACACGATTCCACCCTTGGTCGGGAAGTGTGCCGGATGGTTTCGGAGCAGCTTCCATAAAGAGGGACAAACTTGCTCCACCACCTGGCTTCACTGCTGCTCCTTTACCATACATATAAGAACAGGGCATTGCAGGAAAGGCTGCGACAGTGTCCTGCACTCATTTTCCAAGAATTTTTTCAGCCGCATCGAGCTATGTCCAAGGATTCGTGAATTTATCTGCTAGATTGATCCATATTGATCTATATCTAGAGCTGTACCATCTCCCCGGAAGCCTTGAATAGCTTGGATTGAGTGCCTTTGCCAAGCAGTCCATTTAATAAGCTGAGATCCTTTGACGGAAGTTTCTTCATGGACAGCCACCTTCACACAACTATGAAGGTTGTGGTTTGTCTTGACAGTATCATAGACTATTCAACCTATTCATCTCAAAGAGAAGAAACAGCTACTAGTAAGTTGCTGCATATTCTTTTCATGTTGTGGCTGTCACCAGTTGTCAGCCATTTTATTTGCATGCATCAAACATCAGACACCCTGCAGGTTGGACATAGCCAGCAATTGCGACGCGTGGTTCGTAAGACAGAGCAGACCTCGGAGTTGGGGGTGCATTGAAGCAGCCCTTGACAGGAGAATCTGGCATTGGCGGCCAAGTCAGACCACATGTGCATGATTCATACATCTCTATGTGATCCATACCCTTGATCCACACCCAAGAATGATAAGTTGTACTTATATCAGGCCAATTTAGTATACCTTCTCAGTAGGTCCGGATCAAACCTTTTATACGTAACTCACTCGTTCCATACGTCCGGATCACCGCGGAACGATCACCCGTTTTTTTGAGCCATGCCCATATATCATCATAAATCTATATAGCTTGGATGGAAACTGGAACTTGAAATTTCGGCCAGTTACTGTCCAGGCTGCTGTTATCATGAAGAGAAGCTGACCAGGCGTCTTTGTCATCCCACATGACAACTCTAAGGAAAATGACTTCTTTGTCGAGGTCCTCGGGTCTGTCCTTGACTCAAACGTATTGAAAAGACATGAAAAGACGTCGGCAATTTGGTGATCTACACCACACCAGAAGTTTTGCCACCAGAAGTTACCAGAACCAAATCTGATCAAATCTGCCACATCTGCCACCATGCGCTGTGGACTTTGTTGGACTTTGTGCTACGCCAGATCTGCCGGCTTTCAGGTCCAGTTTGCAACCCTGGTCGAGCCCATGCAATGTACTCGATCGGTGCCATGGCCGCAGCTCTGAGCCGCGAACTCTGTGAGATGCTGGCCACATCTATGCGTATGATGAATGCGGCTGTATACGTATAATATAGTGTATCGTACATAGCAACATAATATAATAGTACATATTATGAGTCATACACTCTACATACGGTGCATTATGTTTATACTATATTTTGTTATATAAAATTACATAACATATTTGTATGTGCATTGTAAATATGTATAATATACATAATATAATATGGGTATATATATATATATACATAATTATATACATATAAATAATATATATATATATATATACTATTATACGTATGTATATTTCGGTCTGTATATGTGCGTGTGTATGTCTCATCGTAACACTGAGTATAAGATGGCCAACTGACAATGCTGCCATTATATCATTTGTAAGCAACACTTCATGGTGGACATTAGGTAGATGCCACTAGCGTTGTGCCCATCAAGTTGGGGAGAATGGTCAGCATTTTTCGTAAAATCTGGGGATGGGTCAACACGTGTTATGACATGTTGTATGACCACATTTGGGGGTCTATTATGATCTATTCTGGTTGATTGACATTCACTAACATCCACTATAACCATATATTTCAGATTTATGGAGAAAATTGAGGCTGGTGTTTTTGCTCCTCCTCCTCGAACTGCTCCTCAGACGGAGGAGGTGCAACACTCGGTCTGGGACTCAGGAAGCTCAGCGATTGAAGCCATCGTTACCCTAGGGGAAACTAGCTCTTCGATGTGTAAAATCATCCATTTCTAGATGTTAGTTTACTTTGGGGTACGGGTACATTGCGAAAAAGCATCGGGTTGTCCAAACATGTTCAAACATGGAGAAACATGATGAACCATTTATGGGGAATACATGATGATCATTAATGATCAGCATTGGGGTTAAAAGGGGTACCCCATTTTTGGACCAACCCTCAGAGATACTGTAAGTGCAACATGGTGGCACAAGGATTCAGCCAGAGTTTGAATGTGTTTGATGAACAATTTGCCCAAGATAAAGTCGCCATGGACATATAGTTGATATATGGTATATAGTTGATCTCCTGATTGAATTGGGAGACATTTTGAGGCTCAAAGTGGCACGACGACGCCAGCCACGATGTCTTCTGGTACGCTGGAGTGTTTGTTTCAAGATCTCGGAATCAAAGAAGATTTGGGTATTCCATGAGGGGTTTGAATGATCGACTTCGGTCATTTGATGATCTTTGAGCGTGCAAAATATTAATTAGGACCAGTCAGCTTTGGGAGCAACTTGAAACACTTAGTGCTGCAGGTGAAGCCTCAGAGAATGAGTGCCACCAACCCATAGGCCAGATTCAATCTGATGTTTGGTGAAGTTTGAAATAGACATAACTTTGGTTGGGATGGGTGAAATAGGTTCAGCATTACATAGCCTTGGCAAAGATCTGAAGCAGTTGGCGCTAGCTCAAGCTCATATCGGATGACAACTATGACTATGATGTGATTGTTTCAAGTGACAACACAGCCATCACTATCCGGGGCAGCTCTCCATTTGTTGCTGCAACGACTCGACCACGTGGTTCGTGCGATGCAAAGACTGGAATGTGAAGTGTCACAAAGGCTTGCCTGGTGTACCTTTCACTTTCTCATTATCCGAAAGCCCATGGTCTGGCAACTCGGTATGCTGCATCCAAACGGGAATGCACCACTTCCCGAAGTGAAGATATTAGAAGCTTTGATCCGCAGGGCTTGTATGCTTGTATGAAAATCGTAGTCTTCATTGAGCACAATTCCTCAAAGTTTCCGGGTTGTCCTCCTTTCTCCCCAGACTTTGTCTTGGGCGTGGCTTGACATCTCGGCATGTCCAAAGTCAGGATGAGATGGATAAATCGAAATCATAAATCATAAATCTATGCAGCAAGCGCCACGAATTCCAAGAACAGCAGAAAGAATGCACTGACGTCTTGGCTAAGTTCAAAACTAAGGACCCCGGAGAGAAGTTGGCTCTATCCGGTTTGGAAACCAAGTTTTGAATGAGCTTCGTTTGGCCTTTAGAAAATCTACCAGTGCATGCAGCTAAACAGTTCCACGGCCGAAGACCAGACATCCTTTTGAGGCCTCCTTCAAGCAAACCGTCGCAACCGGCTTGCTGTGCAGACCGAAAGAAGGTCCGCCTAGTGCCAGCTTTCGGGGAGCTGCAATTTCCCGTGCTTCAGCTTGATGCCTCCCAGCTTTTACAATGTCTCACGTGCTTGCGTAGATGTGGCTCTTCAAAGGATGCACTCAAAGTATCCTTACTAGAGAAAGGCCCCCTAGTACTTTGGAAAGGTCACCCTGACGAGCTGTTGTTTCGCATCTTGACGTTCTTTCCCAAGCCCGCAGGAATGGTTGGCTTGCCCGCGGAGATTTGGATCAAGCACATCATCCCTTGGTGCTCCAGGAGGTGGTTCGAGTGCCCTCGAAACGGAACTCCTGCCATGCAACCGACGGCCACACCTTCTGAGGCCAAAAGGGGCCCCAGGCGGTGGAAATGGCGGGAACTTGAAACATCCAGTCCAGAGCTGGATCTATGCAACACATCTGCTCAATTTGGAGAATTTTGATGCTAAGAGACGGTCTTGAAGAATGCTAAGAGTAGGACTCGAGATGTTTCGAGTGTCTTCACCGAACTGTGCTTAGATCAGATATGATCAGATGTTCGGACGATCTCCGTCGCCCAATCATGGCGTTTGCCCCGAGACCAGGCTCCTTCATCTTTGGTCCTTCCAGTGCAGTGTGGAAAGGCGATCAAACTGAGTCTGCGGTTGGTGTGTGGATTGTGCTATGGCAACACAAGGGAGGGGTGTTGACTACCCTGAATTATTTATAGTTTTTAGTTTTTTATCATGTTCCACTTGATTTGCTAGTGTGGTCGCTATTCCACATTCCACATTAGCAGGTGGGCCCTGCCTTAGTCCCAGGATTCGGCTAGGTAGAAGTAGGACCCTTCATGACCCTTCTCATCAGAGATGACTTGAAATGTCGCTTTGCTTATGACGCTCAAAACTTTCAGGACGAGGAGGGGCACGGACTCCTATCAGAGCTGCAGTTCCTGTTTTTTTTTCAGTTCTCATGCCGTCGCACAGTGCAAACACTTGCTGCAGAAATTGTTTTGTCCCCGCTCCAAAAAACCTCCTGTTCTGGATGATACAGCCATGATCAGCCATCGCCAGCAGAGCAGTTTCGTACTATGTCTCAGCATCGTAACTCGGTCCAGACATTTTGTAGTCCAGCTGCAACTCGACATGAAAACCTCAGGTCGGACTCAGGATCAACAACCGCTCCATCCTCACAGTGGCCTGCTAAGTGTGATTAGTGACTAGTGTCCTGCAACACAGCTTCATGTTTTGGATGTCTTGGCTGTTTCTGATAGTGTCTTTGTCTCATGATGCCTCCTGAATAGAACAAGAGGGTGTTTGTTCCTTTAATGTGTTCTTTTGAGACCACTGAAATAGATTGTGACTTAGTTTGTTCCCGCGGTTGCTCAAGGTCAGGGAGCTGACAACAATAAATTCGTAGATCTGTCGGATCTGTGACAGCACATTGTAAAGACTGTAAAGACCGTTGGATTTCCAAGAGGGTGCTCCAACAGAGTCTTTCTGTGTCCTCAAGCCATCTCAAGCCAATGCATGGTGCATGAATCCTTTGTGAGAATGATGCAGCCAAGCATAGCCAAGCACTTTTCTTGGTCACATCACATCACGTTCACCTCTTCACATTCTTCACCTTCTCATGTTTCATTATTTTGATTGCTCCCTGCAATGGACGGCAACAAGGAGCTCAAGGGGTCGAGTTCAAAGCCACAGATAACCACAGCATGGGTCTCCTTCACGTTGGCCTGTCATCTGAATTGGTAGGGTCTGGGCGGTCTGGGACTGAATTCCGACTGAATTCCCATCTATTCCATTTCTATTCCCATTTTGTCATATCTTTTCACTGTGCCACCGGTGATCCCGGGTGAATGTCGCCAGGATGAGTCAATGGAGGCAACAGAAGGCTTGTTCCCCATCATTTGGGACTTATGGAGATCCAGTCTCCCACAAGTCTTGAGTCGAAGTGAGCTGTGGTTCTTCTGTGGCATCAACCTGGCAACATGGGGTGTAGACTTATCTGCACTGGTGGAGAATGATGCAGCTTTCACTTGTGGCACAATGTCTTCAAAAAATGAACTTGCAGATCTAAAGAACATCTGTGAGCAGAACCAGATCAGGGAATCACCGAGATCTGAACATTGAACGACGGATGGTGTTATGGTTGCCATTTGTATGCTTCAAATGTTCTGTCTGGATGCAAGAGGACATGAGCATTAGGAGTATGAAACCCAATAGACGAAACCTGCAGCAGTTTAGCAGCCTTCAGCCAAGCAAGTAAGAATGGATTAGTACTTGACCTACTTTGACTTTATGATGCGGAATTCTGACCACCCTGCGGCCTGATCTTTTTGCGAACAGTATGTCCTCACGTTGAGATGAAATTTAATGACCAGCCAAGTCACGATGCTGGTTGACATGGGAGGATCTTTCAATGAACCTTCCCGCAGGTCAATTCCAACAATACCCCACAGCCCAGGCATTTCAAGTTGAACATGGTTCGGTTCGCAGCAACCAGCAGGGGGTGAATTTTGACCTGGGGTCAAACATCAGCGTCGACTGGGTGGATCTAAAGATGCTGACAATGATCAGTAGCTCAGTTGCTATGGAACAGTCAAGAGGACCAAGTGTCACAGCAAACAGTGGAGCATCCGTGTGCGCTCATGGCCATGGCCAACTGCTTGTCCAGGCACAACCCTCCTGGCCTTCTATGTGCACCAGTGCTTCGGAAGGTGCGAATGACCATGGGGATATATACCACCCGCCGGGCAGATCCTGGCTGGTATGTTGTTTGAACACAAGTTTGAACGCAGGTTTAAAGATGGATGAAATGGATAGATATTGCATGTCCGATGGTCGGTGGGTCTACATGGTCTTACATGCCATGTGTGGAAGCGGTTTTGAGTTAAAGGGTTGAGATCAGCAATTCTGTGACGTGAGGTATCAGCTTATTTGCACATTGACTACACGAATGCTGAGCTCCGCACATGATGTTGCTTTTCAGGCGCTGCGAATCGTGGGGGTACCAACAAGCGTTGTAGAATGCTGTAGATGCCATACACTGAATACACTGGGAATTGGGAATCAAACAGATTCGCTTTTAGATGGGTGTCCATTTAGCAGCTTCCGGCTGCTCAGTTCAATGTCTGCTCATGAGGCACTCTTTCCCTCAGATTATGTTTGGTGCAACACTACTCTGACTCTGACTCCCAACGACTCAACACATGTAATTAGAGAAGACAAATGACATAAGGTCACATTTCAGACATTCAACCATGTTCGTCTTTGGAGTGCTGTCACTATTTGACTCTTTTTGTGACCAGCATATGACAATCAATCAACCCTCATCATGATATCTATGACAATGATATCTCCAATCTGGTTTTTGTCTGAAAGTAGGGCATTCAAAATTTCCTGGTCTAGACATGTTTAGAACATCTAAAATAATATCATTTTCTTTTTCTAATTTAAACTTCTACTTGTCATAGCGATATTTGACCCAACATGCCCCTGGCAGGCGCGCTTGTTCTTGAGTTCCAAGGGTTCCAGACTCTGCAGCAGATGGCTGGCCCTGACAGCCCTACTGACCTTGACCGAAGGACTGCAGCTTTTTGGGGGTGAACTTAATGGTTCAAGCCACCAGGGATGGTGATTTTATGGGAATTTCATGGAATTTAATGGGGATATATATATATATATACATAGATTATTATATGTATAATATGATTATTATATGTATATAATATGATTATATATATATAACCAACCCTCATAGATATTGGATATTTGGGGAATCAAAAGATGGATGTCGGATCGGACCATTACAAGACTTGCCCAACATTTGTGGTTGGGGCCATTCGAGTTTCGTCAAGGGAATTTCAGGCTGTCCCAAAGTGGGGGACAGGGGATCCATGAGTTCCTTCAGATGCACAGCTCCACTTGTGCAGTTCTTGTGGTCTTTTCTGTTTCACAGATTTACATGCGAATTGTACAGCCTGGTGGGTTTCCATATGTGACACATAGCACAGCCCGGCTTCCCTGCCTCCCCATTTGTCGCCAGGCCCTTCCATCCGCGCCTGGCGTAAGTTGGTGGCGCGGGGCTTCGTGAAACGCGCAGAGGTGGAGCCTTTGAGGAGAATGGGCCCTGCAAGACGCTGGCTGTTGCTGCAAAAGGTCACACACCTGGTAGCCACTGAGGCGAGACAAATGACTTGAGATACTTGAGAATGATGGAAACATCAATGGATGTTACTGATGTAATCCTGATGTTGCATGACATAATGGGAGTTGTTTTAATTGATGCAACGTATTCATGAGTGTTGGCCATGAAGGGGAGGTGAGGGCGTATAATTTGTTTTCACAATGTGTCGTTCTAACATGTTCTAACAAGAGGGTGGGCTTTATTGCCACTAACGGTTTTGCCTTTCAAAGGTTTCAAAGGCCCTTCATGGCTTCTGGCATGTTCATGGCCATGGTGAAATCTTGCGGAACATGTGAATTGTTCAGAGAGTTGATCAGCCAAGATCCCGCATAGCTTGGCTGGCACGCTGTCTTTTGAACAGGTCAGTGATAAAGTCCTTGGCGAAATGATTGGTCGAGTTTTGGCCATGAAAGACTACCAACAAGATGCTTGGCATTGCTTGGTGCTCCGGTGGCAATTCCCTATGCTTTCATGGCATCAAGGGCAAGGGTTGGTGGGCCCGGCCCCAGGCATTCTCATCAGACATCTCTCTCTCACACTGAGGAAATCTTGGAGACGAGAAACTTGTGGTTGCCCTTCAGATATCATCACTTGCTGACAGTGGTGATTATGGTCAACCTCTTGCTGCTGTCATATGGCTCTGCATTGTCCACAAGTTGTCTTGCACCTCCTGTCTTTTTCCTCATCACTATCTTCTTCTTCGGTATGATGGAGGCACCCCAGCTTCCGGAATTGCTGGTTATGTTGGACTGTGGTCAAAAGATGTGAAAAGGCTTGTAATTTAAAGAGATCTTGGAATAGAACAACGACACAACACAGGTTTGGGATTGTTGGGACATGATGATTTGATAGGTACAGGATGGTACTGGTACTGTCAGTATATTCTTATTCACTCTGATACAATACACATGTTGACATGTTTGAATAAGTTTAGCCTCAACCTCCAGTTATTGCAATGGCCAATGGAAAATGATGGAAGATATGTTCCAATCTGTTCCAATCACCATCTCCAAACTGGACAGTGCCCAGGTATCACTTCAGCTTTGGAATCCATTGGCAGAAGAGTCCAGACTGCAGGTACCGAAGCTCACCGAGGAGATTCCGTGGCTACTTGAAGGGTTGCAATATGGGTTTGTATGAAAATAGGCTACACCCAGATTTTCATGGTTTATCAGTTTATCATCGTTTACCTTACTCAAACTGCCATTTTATGGGTTTTCAGACACACTCAATTATTTAGTTTCTTCTATGCTGTTTCGTTCTATCAAGATGACACCTCTCAGTGATTTATTACAGTGAAACAAACCCCGTGCTGTCATGAATTGTGTGGTATGTTTTTTTCCGTCCGAGTAGCAGGACTTTCTGCTCTCCATGCACGCTCTCATGCACTACGAGCATGATGGACCAGCAGAGCAATGGCACAGCGATTTGAAGGAGGAGCAGAGCCACCCATGTCAGTTCTTAGTTTCTGCTCCAGCCAGTTTTGCTGGAGCCTGATTTGGCAGCTGAGCTTTCCCTTCCACAATCTCCTAACAAGGCGATGTTGGGGTTAGCTCAGTGAGATGGCACTCCAAAGTGATGCCGTGAGATGCTCCAAAGGGCGTTGAGCATCGGCCAAAACCGCGGTGATGCCATGGGTGATTTGGGTATGGGTCAAATATGGTCAAATATCAATGATCCAAGGGAAAACATGGGAAAACCATGGGAAAACCAACAATTTGAGCGATTTTGGGTGTTCTTAGTGGCAAACCATCCAATCCCATTTTTCCATTTTCAGGCTACAATACCCTTTGACCACTGCTCTCCTATCGATCCTATAGAAACTTCACTGAGGAATACTCCGGAAAGTGGACCATCCCAACCTCCAATGGAAATGTCGCTTGGACCTTGGCTGTCAATCCGACCTCGATGGTACTCGTACGATGAGTTTCTCACCTCTTGGAGGTGATCTATGGAACCTGTGACACCAAAATTCCACACGTCAGTCTAGCGATCTTTTTTGGGATCTGCGGCTTGAAACTGAGGTCCATTTCAAATCAAATGTCGGAATACTACGGTGAGGATGTTCTGTTCGAGGCCGCTGAAGAAGTGGAAACAGCACCTACTGTAGTGGCATTGCAGAACTTCCAAGACAACTGCTGCAGGTTTGTGAAGATTATAATTATGCCAATGTGGAAACCATTGGCGGTTTACCCAGTTCGTCCCTTTTGGCATGGTCTTGTCTAGGGATTTCGAGCCCCTTTTGTGAATGAGTCCTCTGGACTCCTTCATGGTCAGGTTTGGAGCAATGGTCGCCGCTATGCAATTGGCCGTGAGGTACCTTAAAGGATATGTAATTTTTAGGTGATTGAAAGCCTTCGGAACCACACATTTTGCTTATTTTATCTTATTTGTACTAATCGTATTCACTCGTATTCTCTCATTTTCAACTACCACCAAAAGATGTACGCATATTTATTCTTGAACTCCCAGTTTTGACCCTTACCAATATCCTCCAATATCAATGATATATTATCAATGATCATGTCCTAGTTGTAGCCTCTTTGCCAAAATGTGCCGCAGTGAGTTGCGGCTGTCCAGGGCGATCCAGATGATGCTGATCATGATCAACGTATGGCGGTGCCGTTGCGGGTGCTGTCAGGAGACCTGGGTCCCAGCTGGCCCGTTGTTGGTACCGTTGGCCGTAGCCACCAGTCCCTTCCGTTGGCCAAGATAGACAGTTCGTCACAAGTCAGAAGGAGTCGCAAGTAGCATCAATTATACAATCATACTGAACCAGGTTTTTAAATTGTTTATATAATAATCATAATTAATTGTGCCCCTAATCAATCATACAATCCTGTTATTCGAATGGATATTGATTGATATATTGTACAGTTTATCGTTGATCATGATATTTACTGATTAATAGGTAATAACATATTGTCATATTATATCATATATTATATATGAATTACCTGTTGATATTATTGGACGATCAATCATATTCCTGATCAAAAGGTATCTGCAAAAGCTGAGGCAGCTGCTGGCAAACGAGGCACGCAGCAGACAACGCCGACGCCAACGCGAAGAGGAGGACAGCTGTGATTTTGGTAACTGAAGCATAATGAAGTATAGCTAATGCATGCTTTTATTTCTATTTATTTCTATACCATATATATAATATGTTGTATATTAGAATGTATTAAACAAAATACAGTATTGCATAGGTATTATATATATATATATGTTACATGTCCAGAACATATATATATATATACACATATTTATACACAGTTAGATTCAGATATGTGTCTAGAACATCTATCATGTATAGATACAATATTGGTATCTATGGGCATCATACGAGTGGCGGGTGATCTTTGGCACATGGCGAGTTTTTGGTGAAGGCTTGAATCGAAGCCAACTCGGCAGGGGTTTCCAAGAGAACTCTCGGCCAACTGATATGTCAACCACATTGGGCAACATATCTCATCAAAACTGTGATTTACATAGAACAGATGATATTTGAACGTGTGAGCTTATTCAATGGCACTGGATGGCACCGGCTCCCTAGGAACAGGAGCCTGAACCTGAATCCGTTCAGGCTGGGTTTGTGCTAACAGATTGCTAATATCACTCCATGGAGTTTTGTGGTAGAACGCGATGATTCAGGCCTTGACGGGAGGCTTGCGACTAGCACACACTGCTGATCTGACATGTATGTTGTATAGGATACACACATATATATATATATATATATACTGTGAATATTCAACAATTCCAAACCCAACATGTGACATCCTGGCAGGTATATTCCGCGGCGACCTGGATTGTTCATGGATCACTCGATCCGTCCGTATCGCCAACACTGCATGGCTCAAGGAGGAGGGCGGGAGAGGCATCTTGAGACCAAAAAGGAACAGCAGTTGGCACGGCATCAGTGGAACAGGGTTCCAAGGGATATTGGGGTAGGATAAATAGTCCCCATAGGTTTCGCATTGGTAGCGGAGCACAGGCTGCCGCAGGGTATAACCATTTTGGAAAAGACTTTAATTCAGGGTGGGGCATCCTGTACAATTTTGATTGCACGTTTGTTGTGCTTGAAAAAGTATTCTATTTTTCCAAAAGTAAAAACATTTTGTTTTTCAAAAAAAACTTTCTTCCACTGTAGTGCGAACAGAGCCATGCCTTCGATGGATGGCGCGGATGCGCAACCTGCGGAAGCAGCCGGATCGACCTTGCCGGCGAGCCAACTGCCTTGGCAACAGATTCCCCTTTTTGACCCTCAGACGACGGACATCCAGGTCTATGCCAGAAAGCTCCAGTTTCTCAAGGATATATGGCCTGTGGAACACCTGTCGCAGTTAGCACCTCGAGCTGCTCTTCAGGTTCAGGGAGTGGCTTTCCAGAAGGTAGCCCGTTTGGACCCTGAGAAGTTGAGGAGTGAAGCTGGAGTCAAATACCTGGTGGAGTCGCTGGGGGGGAGCTGGGGAAAGATACCAAGTGAGGAAAAACTCTCACTGTTCGAGAAGGCCTTCTACCAGACAATCCAAAAGACAGACGAATCAAATGATTCGTACTTGGCAAGACATGATGCCTCCTTCGAGGATATGATGGCCAAAGGTGTATCAATGGAGGAGGTGAGAGCCTATGTGATGATTAGACAATCTCAACTTAGCAGTGAAGACAGGAAAAGGATTGTGGTGGAGACGGAAGGAAACCTCACCTATGCAGGAGCTCGCAAGTCGTTACGACTGTTGGGATCAAGGTTTTTCCAAGATCTACAGGGTACTAGCAAGGCTGGAAAATATCGCACCTACGACGTGAACACCGTCGACAATCTCGATGAGGCAGCGCTTTGGACATCAGAGGCCGAAGCCTATGATGAAGAAGCCATGGTCCAAGCTCTACATGATGCTGGAGATGAAGATGCCGCCTTCATCATGGACTTTGAGGATACCGTGATTGAGGCAGTTCAGGAGAGCCCTGAATTGGCTTCATGTTACCATACCTACATGGAAGCCAGAACACGCCTTCGCGAGAGGGCCAAGTACCGTGGTTTCTGGAGCCCTAGTGCACTGGGCAAAGGTAAAGGGAAGAAGGGCAAAGGGGCTTCGAACAAGGGGTTTGGGGGATCCAGACCCAAATCTCTGGCAGAGAGAATTGCCACTTCGGCATGTCGCAAATGTGGGCAAGTGGGCCACTGGAAGAAAGAGTGCCCGTTGACAAATGCCAAGGGTGACACCAAGGGCAAGACGTCACCCCCGGACACCATCACACTGGCAGAGGCTTTGGTGACCTACCCGACGGGCATGGAATCTTCGAGCACCTACATCGAGGAGTTGCCGACCGAGCTCCCGGAAAACGCAGTGGACATAGGACTGAAGGATCATGTTCAAAAAGGAGTGGAACATGTTTTCCTGGGCGAAAGTTTTGAAACAACAAGCACTATCGAGAATTATACAGTCCCAAAATATTTCATGAAAGACCCCTCAAAAAAGTTCCAACTGTTTCAAAATTCAGTGACAACCATGATGCATGGACGACTCAAATCTTCCATCAAGATGAACAAAGGGGGTCATCAGAATTTTAAGAATGGTTTGAGAGTTCGTTTGCAATCCTGCTGTAGGAAGCATGGACACATGAACCTGCCAGAGACCTCCGCAGTGACTTCTCCCCGTGATCCATTTCTCCCGACAGACAATTTTCAGTCTGTAAATGATGCTGCCGCGGTTTTTTACAGTCATGAAGAAAGGGCCCATGAAGCAGTCATAGACACTGGGGCTAGCCGATCCGTGATCGGAGCTGAGCGTGTGGAGGGTCTGGTTGACAGTATTGTTGAAAAGACTGGTTGCAAAATCAAAAGGGTTCCTTCCACAGTGCAGTTTCGTTTTGGGAATAGTGGCACTCTTCAGAGTGAATATGCAATTTGCATTCCGCGACAGCAAAAGGGATGGATCAGAGTAGAAGTCGTGCCTGGCCGGACACCGTTCCTTGTTTCAAATACGGTGTTGAAAGAGATTGGTGCACTGATTGACCCACGAAATCAACAGATGAAATTCCTTGAAAACGACACGGTTATTCCATTAGGAACCTGTAGGAAAAATCTGCTGTGTGTTGATGTTGTCGCACTACTCAATGTAGAAGGGTCCAGGGATGGGAGAGAAGAAATTTATCATGCTAAGGAAACATCGAGACCGAAAACTCATGAGGATGTTGATGAAAAAGAAAAAGAAAAATCCTGGGACAACAAAAAGGGTTTTGATCCTCTCCTGCCATTTTCTCCTTCTGTTTGCATGAACGAGATGCCAGAAACCCATGTACAGAAGAAACCTCCGTTTGAGAAAAATGCAGTGTTGGAAATTAATCAATCCAGAGCTCCATTGGTAGCTCAAGTCACCAACTCCGATCATCAGCCAAGGGATTTCGTTGAAAGCCATGAGCACCCGAGCAGACCTGAAGTATCTTCAGGACGAACTGTCAGGGGAGGAGGATGCCAGCCTCACCATCGAAGAGACCTACTCCCAGAGACAGGGAAAGTACAAGATTCCACCAGGTGTCCGAACACTATCCGAATGGGGGCAACAAGTGATTCCCAGTGGGAAACAGGCTGGAAAGACCTTCGAGAAGGTATTCATGGAGGACGATGGATACCTGATGCAGATCAAGAACCGAAAGGCATCATCAGCATGGATGCTCAATCTCCAGAACTATATGAGGGCCATGTGGGATCATCGTCATCGCCACCAACTACCAGAATCAGTGAGCCAAAACAGCCAGCCAAAGAGCAAGGCACAGCCGACGGCAGTTCCTATGGCAAGTGCCTCCAGGAGTCGGCAGACACTGACGAAGGACGAAGACTGGGAGAAAGTGACCATCGACAAAACAGGCCAGAAGAACAAGAGAGACATCCACGAGGTGAAAGAGAGGACATCGACCAACATGGCAACGGAACCCAACCAGGAGAGAGTCGAGAAGATTCAGATGCAGATCGCCATCTTGCAGAGAGAACTGGCTCGGGAAACACAAGTGCCCGAAGACCAGTGAAGGCGAGTAAAAAGAGCCCCAAAAAGCAGGAGGATCCCAAAAGCCAACAACTGGAGTTGTTAAGTGAAAGCCAAGTGATGTTTTTGCATAATGAGATCTCAAATCGAATGTGTGAGATACAGGGCGGATTGTCTACTCTCAAACAAAAACATCCAGCTGTGGCTTCAATTCACCCAAAACATGTTCCAAGCAGTCGGCCAGTTGATCTTCTTGAAATTTACTGTGAAAAGGATTCCCAAATCACCCAACAAATTAATAGGTGTGGGGGAAATGCGATTCGGTTCACCAAGGAAGATGGAGACCTTAGCACTGACCAGGGGATCAACAAACTGTGGACTTGGGTGGAAATGTATGAACCCAAACATATTTGGGTAGCCCCGGAATGTCGGCTTTGGGGGTCGTTCTCCAGATTCAATATGGGGAGAAGTATGAACCTACAAAATTCAATCTTGAAACAACGAAAAAGAGATCTGTGTCATTTGACATTATGTAACAATCTCTATCTTCATCAGGTTGCCCATGGAAGACATTTTCATTTGGAACAACCCGTTGGATCGGAGATGACCAAACAACCACAGTTACATGATGTCGTCACGGGAACACTTCCAGCTTTCTTCGACATGTGCCAGGCAGGTGGTTTGAAAACCCCCAATTCCGAATCTTTTCTTCAAAAAAGGACACAAGTATGGACTACAAGTAGAGGGATGCACCAATTGTTGCATGGTCAAAACTGTCCCCGAAATCATGTCCATCAACCCATAAAGGGGAATGTCAAAGGAAAAGATCATAAATGGGTACGGTTGTCAGCATATGCAGCGGCCTATACGGCAATGTTTGCACGACGGGTAGCCCAATCGGTGATGTATATAAACCAAGGGTCCGAAAAACCCCTTCTTTTCGAGGAACTCCTCATTGGGGAAGACATCGAAATCCGAGGGGGTGCACCAAAAAGGCCACTGGCACAAAACATTTTAGAGCTGCGGAAGTGTCGAAGACGGCACGATGGCAAAGGACCCCCGACCGAGGCAGACAAAGCTGCACATGTGGGATCCAAAGACATGGTTTCTGATGAGGTTGCATGGAAGAGTGTAGTTGCTCTCTTTGAGAAAGGGGCCCCAAGGGTAGGAAACTCTCTGTGCTGGGTAGGTGATCCCAAAATTGAAAGACTGCAGCAACTTGTCCCTCATGTAGATGTACAATTGGTTATCACATGCAGGGGTACTGAACGCCATCGAGTTCCCGGAATTCAGATCAGCAGGGAGAATATTCCTCTGCGCAAAACAGTATATGTGCATCGAACTACGGGTCAGGTTGTAGACATGGGAGAGTTTGAAGAATGGGAAAAATTGTCCAAGGCCAAACAAACCCGAAAAGCTGGGCCAGCTCGAATCTCGTTGAGTATTTTTGGGAGACCCAACGTTGATGGTTTGGAGGGAAACGGTGGTAATGGAGTTGTTTCTTTTGACCTGCGTAACGGGGAAGAGAGTGTTGTACGTGGAGGCCATGGACAAGATCACCCGATGCCTCCTGTGAATACATCAAATCTGACATCCAAGGATGGTGCGGAACAGTTGCCACTGGTTGAGATGGAAAAGGGATGGCCTCCTAAGATAATTCCCGTGCATGGGCCGGCATTTCTACGACTGGATTCAGAGAGAAGATCTGACCTCATGAGGTTGCATCACAATCTCGGACACCCGGATCCATCTCGCTTGCAGCGACTGTTAGAGGCACAAGGTGCCGATCCGCAAGTCATAGCTGGGGCACTTGACATGCAATGTGATGTGTGCTTAGAGACTCAACCGAAACCCAAGCTTCCTCATCCAGCAGCGATTCATGAGAATTTGGATTTTAACGATGTTGTGGGAGCGGATGGGGCATATTGGACTTCATCAATGGGCCAGTCGTATCACTTCATGCATTTTATTGATGAAGGTACTTTGTATCACACGGGTATGTTGAGTGGACGAAGCACTGAAGAACAAATCACCACATTTGAACAAGCCTGGCTCCAATGGGCCGGACCCTGCAAAACCCTATATTTGGATCCAGCTGGGGAGTATGTAAGTGCAAGGTGGAATCAATACCTCCAAGGGGAAAATATCAGGGTTGTCATGGCCGCTGGGGATAGCCATTGGCAAATAGGGCGAGCGGAAATTCATGGAAAAATAGTCAAAGATATGCTCACCCGTATGGACCGAGAAGACCCAATCAAGGATGTCAAAGACTTCCAAAAATGTCTTCGCCAGGTCTTTGCAGCGAAAAATTCACTCTCTCGTGCAAAAGGTTTCACACCAGAACAGGCAGGCACTGTTGGGGAAAGCGAGGAGTTTGCCTGCTTCACTTACTTCAGATACTGATGGTGGAGCCCATGCACTGGCAGAGAGTGAGACACCGGAAGGCCTTCATTTCAGAGAAAGTCTCATGCGTCGAGAACAAGCACGACGCGCTTTCATACAGGCTGACAACGATAGTGCATGTCGACGAGCTCTTCTGAGAAGGAGCCGCCCGGGCAGTGTAGAATTTGAGAAAGGAGATTGGGTACTATATTGGAAGAAACTCCAGGGGAACCCAAGGGGAGCTAAAGGTAGATGGCATGGTCCTGCTCAGGTTATCACGGTGGAACAGAAGAGAGTGGTATGGTTGAGTCATGGGGGGTATTTGATCAGGGCTAGCCCCCAACATCTGCGTCCAGCATCACTCAGGGAGTATCATGCCCTTCCAAGGGATTCAAGTGGGAGAGTTGTGGATGAGACAGTATCCCTTCAGTCTCGCAACTTCCATACCCTCACGGATGTTCCACCAATGGAAGACACTATGTATGAGCCATCAATAGCACCCACCGAAGATCTCCGAACAAATGACCAACCCGAACACGAGATCTCTCCACCAATAAGTGTTGAGGGGGAAACTCCAAAACATGAGGATGGAATTCCCTCAAATGAGTTGACACCAGGGGATCTAGGGGGGTTGGGAATACCTGTTCCTGATGATGAAGGGGATGATTCTTTGTGTGTTTTTGGTGATGATGTTGTTGTGGAACCCCAAAAACCTGGTGTTTGGGAAGTCAATCTTCAAGAAGAAGTGGATATCCCTCACAATGAAGAAGTAGCGGAGAAAGATTTTGCAGAATTAATTTTATTGGCCACGTCAACAAAGAAACAGCGTGTGGAAGTACAGTGGAGAAATTTAAACGAGCATGACCGTCAGCTGTTCAAACAAGCCAAGGCCAAGGAGGTCGGTGCTTGGCTGGAACACGGCACGGTCAAACGACTCGCAAAAGGGTCACTCCCACCAAATCGAATCATGCGCTGCAGATGGATCCTGACGTGGAAGCCACCGTTGCCTGGATCGAAAGAGTATCGACCAAAAGCAAGACTAGTGGTTCTAGGGTTTGAGGATCCAGATATCGCCACAGTCCCAAATGATGCTCCCACTTTGAGTAAGGATGGCAAGCAGCTGATTTTGCAGAAAGTGGCTAGCAATAAGTGGTCATTACTCAATTTCGACATCTCCACGGCATTTTTGAAAGGAGAAGGTGACGGACGTCCATTGGGCATTCACCCACCACCAGAGATTTCCGAAGCCCTTAATTTGCAACCAGAGGAACAATGTGGGCTCACTGGTGGAGCATATGGCCGCATTGATGGTCCATATCTGTGGTATCAGGCTTTTAAGAAGTCTTTGGAGGAACTTGGTTTTGTTTCGTGTCCTTTGGACAATTGTGTTTTTACTTTAATCACCAAAGACCATCAGAACAAACCTGTCGTTCGAGGGGTACTTGGAATTCATGTCGATGATGGTATAGGAGGTGGGGACGATTACTATATGGAAGTCATTGGGAGACTCCGGGAAAGGTATTCCTTTGGTGCTTTCAATATTGGGGAGTTTGATTTCTGTGGAATCCGTTACCGTCAAATGGAGGACGGCAGTATTGAGCTGCGCCAGAAAAAGTATGTAGAACAAATCGAACCCATTCAAATTTTGAAACATCGACGCAAGGAACCTCAAGCTCAAGTCACGGAGCAAGAGCGACAGTGTTTGCGGCAGATTTGCGGATCCCTTCAATATGCGGCTGTACAGACTCGCCCAGACATATGTGCCAAGGTTGGATTGCTCCAGTCGGCCATACCCAGAGCATGCATCGAGGATTTGTTGGAAGCCAACCGAGTTCTGTTGGAGGCCAAAGCTCATCCAGTGACACTTTTGATTGTTCCCATTCCTCAATCTTGTGTTGCCTTTTGTGGTTTTTCGGATGCTTCTTTTGAGACAAAGAAGGGGGTATCATTTAGGCAGGGGACAATTGTTTTCACGACGGATGGAAATATGGCCAAAAATCAACTCACAGTGATTTGTCCAATAGCTTGGTCCAGTAGAAAGATACCTAGGGTGGTTCGAAGCACTTTGAGTGCTGAGGCTTCAGCTTTGAGCAGCACCCTGGATAGAGTCAGTTGGTTGAGGATCATGTGGGCTTGGTTGTGTGATCCAAGCATAGATTGGACGAATCCATCAGAGATTCTTCAGGGAGCTCCGTTGGCTACCATTGCAACTGATTGCAAATCCGTTTACGACATAGCGACGAAGACATCTCCACCAGTATGTGAGGAATTTCGTACTACTTTGGAGTGCCTTTTGGTAAGAGAGAGGCTGGCTGAGCATTGTCGACTTAGGTGGGTAAGTAGTCAAGCTATGCTGGCTGACTGTTTGACAAAAGCAATGGATGGAGGAATGCTTCGCAAAGCTATTACTCTGGGAAAATATGCCCTGTTTGATGAACTTTCAATTTTGAAACAAAGGGCAGACCGGCGAGAACGTTTGAAATGGCTTTCAGAACAAGAAGCCAAAATTCAGAATACCAGGATGGTCACTGAAACCACTTAGAAATCATGTTGTTGTGGTTTGTGTTGTTTTTTTGTTTTTGATTTTTCTGTTTTTGACGAGTGTGAATATTCAACAATTCCAAACCCAACATGTGACATCCTGGCAGGTATATTCCGCGGCGACCTGGATTGTTCATGGATCACTCGATCCGTCCGTATCGCCAACACTGCATGGCTCAAGGAGGAGGGCGGGAGAGGCATCTTGAGACCAAAAAGGAACAGCAGTTGGCACGGCATCAGTGGAACAGGGTTCCAAGGGATATTGGGGTAGGATAAATAGCCCCCATAGGTTTCGCAATATACATATACATATATACATATATCTATATATATATATATACATATACATATATACATATATACATATACATATATATATATACATACATATATATATATATACGTATATACACATATACATATACACATATACATGTGTATGTATATGAACTAATGATGAATAGATGATATGTGTATACATATATATGCATGTATATTGTAGATATGCATCTTTGTACATACAGATACAACGAGTTACCTGTATGAGACATGGTATCACATGTGTGTACAGGTACTTGCATTATGGTTCACATGCACATACCTCTAAATTTAAACAACTCATATTGATCATTCTTCGCAGGCCGATGACCTTTGGGATGATGCCCAGGCTGCCGTGAGGGTCTCCAATGGACATGTTTCTGGCATCATGTCTCTCTGGAACCTTCGGGCCGCGTATCGTGCATTGCTCATTCCTGACAGGAACCCTGGGAATGGGGAGAGGAGGGCATGGATCTGGCCAGCGGCTCAGTCCGAGCTTTGATTTGAGGAAACTTTTGGGAGGCTTGCCAGTCTCAGTGTTTGAAGGGCTAGAGATAATGGTAAATCCTTTTCCACATAGAAATCACCAACATCCACCCACATCGACCAACATCCATGCATCCATCCATAGATCCATCCATAGCATATGTGATCATGCTCACTTTCCCAGAATTTCAAGGGAACATTACCCGGCAAGCCTTATATTGGATATATTTTAGATTATTTTGGGACAGAAACCAAGGTTTCCCGCAATTTGCTGATTATAATATTGATTGTGTATCCCATATGGGATACATTATATGCCCATGGTCCAAATAAAGATGGTAATCATCAATTATCATGGGATATATCTCCACAAGACTTGTAATAATGAAATGCAGTAAATGGTCCCAGATGATACAGTAGATCTCCATAAAAAAAATGGTTACAATGCAATATTCGTCTCCACAATCATATTGTTTATTCATGTTAATATCATATCCTCATGGTCCCCATAAACATAATATGGTAAACCATATAGGACATATCATATGTATATTATATCTATACATATATATATATATATATATATCATATTGTTCCTGGCTTATTATTACACCCCATATGGGGACATAAATGATATAATCCTCATGGGATATCTATCTATCCTATTTTGTTCCGCCCAGGAGATGGAGAACGAGCCTCGACGTGAGGACACTGCGATGCAGGATGTGGAGGTGGCAGATGGCAGATGGATTGGATGTGGCTATGGGATATGGCAACGGCTAAAGATCCGACCTCTATATATTTGTATATATATATATATATGCACATGCAGTGGAGTATCATCAGACAATGTTGGCTTGCTTACTGCTCAACATGTTCAGTTTTTGTCAGAACCATATTTGTAGCAATATTCATGAATGTATATCAGCAGTTTGGGGTAGGTTTAGGCTGTCGATGCTGTCGGAATGAGTGGTTGTTCTCGGTATGCACAAGCCGTTTGCGAATTGAATTTCAAGCAAGTTTGAATTTCGTTTGACAACAGATTCCGATTGGCATTTGCTTTGCTACTCATTAGTGTTCCTTGGCGGCCCAAAGGCCGAAGACGTGCGCATGCTGTGAGGTGCAAACATGTGGGGATCCACGAGTTTTGGATAGGCAAGAGAAGCACGTCCATGACACGGGTCAAGCAAGAACACAATAGAAAACATACTGAGAATGCCATTGGTTGCTACTTAGCAACTGGTCGCTTGACAGTTTTGCAAACAGTACAGCTGATAACATGCTATGAAAATATATCCGGTGTCGCTTTCTGCTGTTGTTTTTGCAGTCATAGTTCTATGGCTTTATTATATATATATTATATATATACCCATCGCTGGCTTTGGTAGCAAGACTGTCAAGACTGTCGTTCTGTGGACTCTGTTGACCTTCCGACTATACCCGTTGGATCCCGTTGGTGGTGAAACTGTGAGGCTGACGGCAAATCGCTTCACGGGGGCTGCAGAGCCCAACTAGCGTGGCCTAAACAAATTTTAAGTTTGGGTGATTTTTAGGTAACAGCGTGAGACATGGCAGCGTGGCTTGATTTTGTGACCATTTGCTGACCTCTATGATTCTCTCCCAGTGAGGCACATCGGGAGATGAGTCTCAATGTGGTTTTGATGTTTGTTTTCAGCTGGCTAGACCCTGGAGACCCTGGCTGCGCTTCCATGAGAATCCTGCCACAGCTAAAGCGTGATTGCAAAAAGGTGGAGGAGACTTTTTTTCAGGTACAACACCAGATGATAGGCTACTTAGATCTGTTCGAATCTGCTGATAGATGTCCTGGCATCTCAGAGTGACTCCTTCCTGATGCATCCGCGAACCCGAAAGTTTTCCCGACCAAGGGCCCAGCAGTGGCAGGCTTGAGCCATTTCCACCAGCATCACTAGCATTCAGAACTTTGAGAATTTTGAGGACGTACTGTATTGGAAACCCTTGTCCAAGAGTCTAGGAGTTTAGGACAAAATCCAGAAAGGTCTCGGGAGTGTCATTAGCTGTTGGTCTTGACAAGATGCCATTATTGTATATTATTGTGACATTGTACGCGCGGGAATGTCCTTATGGAATATGTAGCCGTATAATGTAGATACTCGCACCAAATTTTTGAATCTCAGACTTCTCATGCCGCAAAAAGGACAGCACAACAGCTGCAGAGAATGCTTACGTAACAATATGATACACTATGCCTATATCATGCGAAAGTCCAAGCTCACAGTTTGGAAAAAGTGAACGGATCAGTTTTAAGTGTTGCATCAGCTCGTAACCTCGCGTTGGCTCGCAAGCCATTGCCAATTCACATTCTGCAGCGGCAGAGTGTGGCGCAGTTTGGAGGGGACTCCTGAGCGGCCCCTGGGCGGTGCCTCATCTGACGAACTTCAGGCCATCGACAGGCTTAGATGGATCAGAATGCCCAACATATTTTTTTTTTCGTATGTGTGTCTGTGTTTTTGCCTCCTTGGAACTTGGAACCTCTGTGATGATCAAGAATTCACAATTGCGTCTTTTTGACTACTTGGTGCTGGCATTTGGCATTCTTTGATTGCTTCCTGCGCGACTTTTCTCGCAAAAATTGGTGATAAAACACATGCTGAATATTGTTGAATTATTTGAGTTGCCTCTTGACGGGGCTCTATTTTTCTCTCCATGTCTTGACTTTATCTTAGTTCATCAACAGCATCATCGTTCGTGATGAGTCACTGTTGACCGTCGACCGAGATGGTAAGCTTGGACTATTTTAGCTGCTAGGCTTGTACATATCACCTCTCCTGGCTCGACTGGATGCTGACGCAGTGCGAGGAATTTCTTGTTGGCACATTTTTACTGCACCAGACCCATGGAATCCATGAAGTCTGTGGATAGGTTAGCTACATCATTCTACTTGTACATCACTGTCATGGACAAAAATTAAAGGACATCAGTATTCCCCATCCAACAGGTCAATGAAATGCAATGGCTGCATTTTCGGACTCCCTTTATCTCTTTCAAATCAACCCTATGTCATCACAAGTTTCTGCCAGTTTCTGGGGATTGGAACAGCTAACATTCGCTGAGAGGCTGCGTCAGCACTGGGATATCGAGGCTAAAGAGTGATGGCTTTCCTGAGATAGGAAAGCCACAGAACATCTGGGGGGTTGAGGCAGTCAGGCTGCACATGATGAAAATCGGTGGGCTGTGATGGTGATGTTGACATACTGACATCTTTTTCTTTTTGCTAACTCTCTACCTTTCCAAAGTTGGATTTGTGACGATTTTCAGGTGTAACTGGTGCTTGTCCATGTTTTTCGAAGATTTCCTTTGCATGATTCATATCATGCATAATATGTCTATTAAAAACAAAAGCTAAAGAGAGCATGCCCATCATATGCAACATCCAACATGCGCGCATTTTTGCATACGGATTCACAGATTCATGGAGCCTGATGACCCTGTGGAACCGGCTATCTAAATGTATCTAACACTTTATCTAACGCTTTATCTAACATGTTCTAACCTTAATCGGAAATGGCAGGTGGCAGGTTGTTGACAGGTTTTGTCCCCTTTTGCATGCAGGAGCCTGGCTGATAATCTTGCGCGAAAGCCCAAACCTTGACGTGCCATGAAATCAATCAGTGGATCGCAGGGATCCGAGCCCATGAAGGGCAGTGCCGCCGAGGATCTGAGAGAATGTCCACCACTTTTTTAGACGTTGGGATGGAATCAAATGGATCCAACATTATCCAACTCATGTAAACTCTCATGTTACTTGTTACTTCCAACCTAGAATTGCTAGTAGGCCAGAACTTAGTTTCTCGATACTTCAGAACAATTGGACATTGAAGACCCTCTCTCAACAATAGAATTCTGATTTGATGCAACTCATTTGTCCATGTCAATGTTTCAATGTTTGATTTGATTCAAGATCTGAAAGCGCAATCCTTAGTGAGCAAAGAACTGGGATCTGCTGTTGTGGGGTGCCTAATCATTGGGCCTCCACGCTTGAAGTGGCACCGGGCTGCGAATTTTGCGCGGAAGTCTCCATTCGCGGGGCGACTGAGATCATGGGAACGGTATGCAAATTTGAAGATCAAGATGGAACAGTAGCATTTTGAACTGCAAGCGGTAGTGACTCTGCTTACTGTGTGATGTAAGTTCCAGAGGTATCACCTACTTGCTTTGGATCTCTCAACTAAGAGCCTGAAGATGTTCGAAGGAACAAAATGAGTCTTGGTCTTAGAAGTGTTGCAGCAGGAAGTCGATCAAAGATTGTCAAACATGCCTAGATAATAGAAGTGTGGAAGCCACCGTGGGATCATAATGGCCTCAGTTGCCACAGACACAGCCCCGCAGAGACCGAGAGGGGTTTCTGGGTCACAGCTGCTGATGACTGTTTCAGATAAGATCTGACTTTGATCATGGAGACCCTGGGGGCTCCACCCACTCCACTGGACCATAATGAACCCCTAGAAACATCTAGAAACAACTAAGCCTTTTGAATTCAGATCTATGTGGTGTGCCTTGTGCATTTTCTATAAATTTCTTGGGTTTTTGAACTGGCTTTACTTAACTTTGGTTCTTTAGCATGCCGATTCTCTCGAGGCTTGACTCCGATGATCAAGGATCTTACCATATGTCATGCGCAATCCAAAGATATCATCCCCCACCTCGGACCCGTCGGATATCCTAAGATCATCATCACTTCCTTTAACTTCCAGAACATCGAAAATCAAGGAAAATCATCACACATCACTAAACCAACCAAGAAAAAACAAATTCCAAGATGCTGAACCACAGAAACAGCTCCAGCCAAAGGGCGTAGACCAAACTGACACCCTGAGCTGCGACAGCCGCGCACCGAATCATCGGCAAGAAATTGGGGAGGCAGATGGAAGTGATGAAAGATTGTTGGTTACTGATGATTGGTGGATGGTCGGGGTTGGTGGTGCTGGTGGCGACTTCAATGCATTTCCATCAAATGCCATTCTCTTTAATAGTCTTTAATTATGTTATCTCTCTTGGATGATTCAACCTGCGGGGTACCGCCTGCGACTTTGGTAGTGGCATGTTGTTCCATGTTTGGCGGACCTCTTGTCCACGGATGTGCAACAGTTTGCTCCAACTTGTCAACTTCGCATGAAAAACAAACATTAGAACCACGAAGGGTGCCGAAAACAAATCACATGCTGCAAGTAGTTGTCCTCAAACATCGCTGCGACTGAGACTACGCCGGAACTGGACGCTTTAACGAGGTCTAATTACTTGTCAAAGGAAGTTTAGTTCGAAAACTTCCGAGTTACGGACGAATGTCCAGGGGCAGTCCCGTCAAGATGTCAACCAGGTTAGTAAGCAAGAGCAGATCACGTGTGGGAGCAGCAGAGAAGAGCAAAAGTTTGGGAACATGTGAATTCACTGCTGAAAACACTCTTTTTTCAGCTATCCCGGAGTCGCCGAAGTAGGGTCTCTGTTTCCGCAGTTCCACGGCTCGATCTGGGAAAGTTGTCGACAAAAAGTGTACAGGATTGTAGCGAGAGCTCGATTTGCACTTGAAAATGTTAAAAATCGAGGGCCACGCGCAGCACTTTTGGAAGATGAAGCTGGCAAAATGTGCACCAGACAGTAACTAGCGAGAGCTCGATTTGCACCTAGCGATGTTGTCACTTTTGGAAGATAAGGTCGACAAAATCTGCACCTCCAGAAGAATCTTCAAAAACTGAAAGGGCGACAGCATAGCGCGAACAAGCCCGCTCTGTTGATGCTGGACGAATGTTGGTCGATTTGGCGCGACGCTCCTGCTATGCGGGTTAATGCAACTGGCTGCGACAAAACCTATTGGCATAGCTGCGCGCAGCAAAGCATTAGTGGTGCTGCAATGCTTCTGCACTGCGGCATTGCAGCTGGAAGTTTCTAGATGCATTGTAACAGCTGTGCGAAACGTAGTTTTAGAATTTTTAGATAATATAATATCTTGTCAGTGTGCTATGCGGGATTTTGGCTGGAGGTTGCTAAACGCATTGTAACAGTTGTGCGAAGAGAAGACATGGGTTGCAGAAGCTACAGAAGAGGATGAAGAGGCTGGGAGGCACCTCAGAGCAGGGTCAGAG